TTAGGGTTTTTTTGTAAAAATAAAAGAAAGAATATTGCCACCCAAAAAGTAGTGTGTGTGTGTGGGGGGGGGGGGGGGCTAAGGGCAGTAGTGACAAAAGCAAATATTATGTCAATATTGCAATTTGAACAGGCATCTAGGAACTATTCCCCTTTACCGGTGGACTATATTAAAAAATAAATATTTAATTTTATTATTTAATTTAAAAAATTAAGAGAGAATTTATTATTTTAAATTTATATTCTTATTGTTAAATACTTAATTATTTTGTAATAGTTAGATCATTTCTAATTCAATACTAAATTTTAGATTAATTTAGTGTGTGAGTAGTGTTACATCAAATTTGATGCGATACTATTCATTACTATAATTCATTTTATTGAATATTTTATTATAACTTCATCATACAAAATTTTTAATTAAACATTATATAAATGATTCACAAAAACAAAAAATGTAAACATACAAATTATTTAAACAAACAACGCAATCAACTTAAAAATAATCAAAAATAATATTTAATAAATAGTAATTTACATACATCAAAATTTATATATAAAATACACAGTAATTGATAAATATTTTTAAAAAAATTATTTGATGAAATAAAAAAATATAAATAAACCAAAAATTAATAATATAATAATAAAGAAAAAATTTATTCCTTATAGAGGTAAAATTTGATTCAAATGAACTGAAGTTAGATTTTATACTAAAATAGTGTTAACAAGCAAATTTAATATAAAATATGATGTTTGAATCGGACCATAAACAAAAAAGATATGTGCAGCTCTCTTGTCACATCGTACTTCCCAAATAACAAAATAAATCTAGATTAAAAAATGTTAACCCTATAACCCAACCTAACATGTTTTACAGAAAAAATAGAAATTTCACGTGAGTTTGCTTCAGAATTAGCAGGCAAGTGGAAATGATTTATATATTACTGTAGGAAATAGTCTAATTCCATGTTTGAAATATTCACAACAACAAATTATACACTCTTAATACCCTATTTATGAGAGGTTTCTTTTCAAAACAATTCGACTGATGACCTAAAAAATATGATACAATGAAGAGGATATGATTGAAAAAATAAATAAATACTTTCTTTTTAAGTTAAAATAAAAAAATCAAATTTTTAAGTTCAAAAAATAGAAGGCAGAGTAGATCTACTTTTGATTTTTATGTTATGTTTAATTTTATCATACTCTCTCATTTATTTTAAGTCATTTTTGAATGTTTGAAAATATTTTATATATGCTAAAAACTTTCAAAATAAAAAACTAATCTATTTTTAAATCAATCCAACATCATATACATGACTTAGACATAAACTTTCGTTGCATGTTTGACGTTAATTATTAGAGTAATACATGAGTAAAATCTTATTAAATGACGTAATTATAATAAATTAAACACTTATTGCAAGCTAGCCTTCTTGAACTTTTCGGCAGTACACTTTGTTACAATATCATCGATGAATGCTTGGAGATTCTGCTGGGATGAGCCACCATCAGCCACCGCATCCTCCGCCACTTTCTTCCACTTCAACGCGTTTTCTTTCATCTCTGCGGCCTTTGCTCCACTCGTCGCCTCCCTCACGCACTTCTCCACTTCCTCTCGTGGAATGATTCTATTTTCATCCTCACCTCTACATAATTGAATCCCAACTTTAAACACATCCACTAAGTACTTAGCGTCAAGAACTTGATCACCCCATTGTGGAAATGCAATAATTGGCGTACCAATAGATATTGCTTCCATAGTTGAATTCCATCCACAGTGCGTTAAAAAACAGGACAAGGAAGGGTGTGCTAAAACTTGTTCTTGTGGACACCATTGGACAATTTTAGCTCTGTCACCAGCTTTGTCCAAAAATCCATCTGGTAATTTTACTGGTAAATAACCTGTCCCTACTGAAGGTTCTTTTACTACCCATAAAAAATTCACCCCTGAATTTAACAATCCATAGGCCAATTCATCAATTTGTTCTTGTTTCAACATGACTATGCTCCCAAATGAAATGTATACAACAGAGGATGCTGATTTCGAATCGAGCCACTGTATTATTCCACTATCAGACGTGAAGTAATCGCCACGAATATCCTTTCCATTGGGGGAAATCAATTTAGGGTACATGAATAATGGACCAACAGTTTTAATTGGACAAATTTTTGAAAGCTGATCAACGAGATCGAGTTCGAGTTCATGGAACGTATCCATCAGTATACAAAACGGATTAGACAATTTTTCAAATTGACCTAAAATAGCCTTCTTCAACATGGTGTAAGGAGAAGAAGGGTGCAAAAAGCTAGGGATTTCGTCGTGTTTGAGTAAGGGCATGCCTGGAAGTTGGAGTTGGAGTTGGGGGTTTGATTCAGTCGGAAAAGTAGCTAACTGATGCATATAATGGTAATAACATGAAAAACTGGCAGCAGATTGAACCCAAAGAACAGCACTAGGAATTCCGAGGGTTTCAGCAATATCTGAAACCCACGGAATAAAGGCATTATTAATAAGACAAGAAACAGGGCGACCCTGTTTCTCTTCTTCCTCAATCATTTGAGGAAGGAGCTGTTTACCTACAGACTCTAGATGCCGAATGTAAAGCCCGAGGTCATTACCCTCGGGCTTCGAATAATCCCAACCATCATCAATAAACTTAAATCTTATCGTACCTGAACCATAAGGTGTTGGCTCATCGCTTAAGTTTTTATTAACTTTTTTCATTTGAAAACCATGACTTTCAGCGGTGGATAATGTAACGAAAATACCCTTGGCTGCTAGGCGTTTGCCCAGTCGAATTAGAGGATTGACATGTCCTTGGCCTGGAAATGAAACCATAAAAACATGAATTGGTGCTTTTCCCCCTTGAGAACCCATAGATACCTTTTTGTTTTTGTTTCTTGGAAATTAAGAAGAAAGAAAATTTCTGAGTTCACAAAGTAAATAGATAAAGCTGTTTATAAATAAAAAGAAAATAGGAAGGAGGTATGCATAGCCGCCTTCAAATAGAAAAAACACACCATAATATATATATATGTATAAAACTTTTACTAGATATCCTATCAAGTTCATGTTGGGCTTCCCAAAAACTTTAGTTTGAATTGTAATATACTTCTTCCCTTTTTTTAAAAACATTTTTCTTTTTTTAGTATGTTTTAAAAAGAATTTTTTTTTATAATAACTTTTTATCTGACGTGTTTAAGATCATAAGATTAGAAGACAATTTCACATTATCAAAACTCTTCTTTATTTTCTTAAATCTCGTATCAGGTCAAACTAGATCACTTTTTGTGAAACGGAGGAGTATTAATTTAGTTATTATATTACATTTTATAAAATTAATTTGATTAATTTTTAAAGTTAAATTAAATAATATTAATTTGATATTTTAAACTAAAATTTAGATATTCAAAAAGTATATGAAAAATACTCTCTTGAGCCCTTTTTAGTTGGTATATTTGCACCTTTTGAGAGTCAATTTGATTAATTTACAAAGCTAAATTACATTACACTTAATTAATTTAATATTTTAAAATAAAATTTTAAATATACAAAAACTATACGGAAGACTCTATAAGTTGTAACTTTTTCATATTAATGTGATGAAATAATAAATCTTAAAATGTTTCACAAAATTCATATCATTTGACTCTCAAAAAGAAAAATATGACGACTAAAAAACAAAAATGAAGATAGTATAAATTATAAATTTTTAAATATCAATATGATTAAAAATATATTTTAAAAGTTCATTTTAATTTTTAAAATTTTATGTCTAACATAATTAAGTCATTATTTTTTAAATCAATAAAATATCATTTGTTAAGTGGGTTGTCCACATCTGAAAGTAACTTTTGGCGTTACTTTACTAGGAGAAATAAAAGCCATTGGACTTTGGAGGAATCCCATCGCTCTAAATTTAACATATTTTATTCGATTCTTTTACCCCTTTTTTTTTTGGGCAATCATTACCTTACCATCTCAAATAATTAGGAATCAATTATTGTTTTGAATTTTGAAATGGTAATTATAAATAAAAAAGAAAATGGTTATATGATCTTCTAATCTATAATCGATTTTTCAATTACATATTTATAATTTACGTAAATTTTATTATTGTTTAAAGTATTATAAAGTAGAATATAAATAATTATAAAATTATACAACCACATTACTTTCATATATTGTAAATCACCCATTGCTCATTGTCATATATCATATACAAAAAAAAAGGTAATTATAATTTTGCTTCTTCTTTATCTTCTCCACTCTCCACTTCTCCTAAATGATGCTTCAATCTCTTTCCCCGTAATTCGCCGAAATCTATATCTCTCAACATTTCTCTCTAATCACTCCCCACCCCCACCTTCTATAACACACAAATTAAGTATCAATGTTCATCAACAACTCCACAATAACTATCTTATTAATTATTTAAATCTCAATTTTCACCTCTCCCAGTCAAATCACATAATTTTAATGTCAATTTTAAGTTTGAAGTTTTCGCTATTTGTCTTATAATTAAGGATTAATATGCCTTTTTATTTTAAAAATAATGATGGCGATTTTTGAGCTTTTTACACATACAAAAATAGTTGAATTATTGGGATTAACTAGAATCAACTGATTGTTGATGCTCAACTTCGTGAAAATCTTATTATGTGTAGTTTAGATTTTTCACCAAACATTAATAGAAACAAAAAATAAATTTAAGGGTTGATTAAATTTGCATGAGCAAAAAACTAACTTTAATTTATTATTTAGTAGTAGATATACATGCTCAATATGGTGTTTTTTTTCTTTCTCTTTTTTAGAAAAATCAAATACTAATATCTAAAGGTAGTATTTTACTAGTACCCGGTCAGTTTTTTTTATAATTGTCGTAATTTTCTTTTAGAGAGACAAATAATATGAATTTTAACCAATATTTTAAGATATATTTTTTATTATATTAAAATATAAATTTTTTTTTACAATTATAGTACCTTGCATATACTTTTTGAATTTGTTAACTTTTATTTTATAGTATTGAATTAATATAAACTGATTTAGCTTTAAAAATCATAATTAACGCACATAAATCACAATATAACAACTAAAAGGAAATTAGGAGAGTACTATATTGCGAATGGACCATAACTAATAAACAGAAAAAGATATATCTAGACAAAAGTCGCGGAGGGAAAATATGAAAGACATTTTTGATAATTTTAAAACGTGTAGTGTATATTTTTTTTTATTTTTTATAATTAATTAATATTCTATATATTTATTGATCTGATTTATTCATGAATTCCATGACTTATCAGTGATATAAATTATTTTTTTGATTTTTTTTTACTTTTACGATTTAAACTCTAAATTTTAATAAATATAGATTGAAGTTTCAATTAATTTTACTAATTGGAGTGAGTAGATACAGGCTCAGTACATATTATTTTGTTTTGTTTTATAATACACAAATGAAATTAATAAGTCAATTAATTTTTTTAAATATTATAAATTCTTAATCACTGCGATTTATAAAACTTTTAATGTAATTTTCAAATAATATAAGTTACTTTTTTTTTAATTTATGTGACATATTAATTTTGAAAGTCAATTAAAATTTTAATATTTTTTAATTTCAAGCTGTTAATTATTGTGAATAATACATGCTAATTTCTCTGCCTCAATTTATATGACACAAGTAAAATTGAGAGAGTTAACAATATTTTAATATATTTAAAATATTTCAAGTTGTGATTTGTATTACTCCTAACATAATTTTCAAATAATATATATTATTTCTCTATATCTCAATTTATGTGATAGATTTAAAATAATCAAAATTTTAATATGTTTTTCTAATATTTTAAAATTATTAATTAGTATAATTTTTAATACTTTTAATTTTATTTTTAAGTAACAATATTTCTACCTCGATTTATGTAATACATAGAAGCAAAGTAAAGTAAAATGAAGCAATTAAAAAACATCCTCGATCAAACAAAACAAAATTTCCAACTATTTTATTTATTTATTTTATAATTTAAAGCAAATCTATTGGGGAATTCTTTTTTTTTTTTAAGAACCCCACATGTGTTCATCATTGAAAAGGCCAAAAAAATAATTGTACCGTTGGATCCCAAGCTCCTCTCAAATTACCTTTGGTAATATAGAAGTAAAAATAAAAATATACCCTCCAAAGTTGAAAATTAATTAGCCATCCAAAAGTGTATCGGTTCCAACTAATATATAGGGCCGTTTGAATTAATTTATTTTTAAGTAATTTTAATTTTTAAGTATAATTTTTACGTTTTGAATGTGTTTACAAAGGTTATAAGTGGTTCTAAATATTTATTTTTAGATCATTGTTTTTTAAAAGTAAGTTAAAAATTAAAAGTAGGATATTATATATTAAACACTATTTGAACGGATTTAAAAGTTGATTAAATATATTTTTAAGCCATTATAGGTTTTAAAAATATTTAATCAAAACTAAAAATAACTTAAAATAAATTTAAAGTGACTCAAGAAAAAGTATAAAAAAGTAGGACTTCTCTTACATTTTATTTTTAATTTAAATTCATTTAAAATTTGACATTTTTTTACTTAGAAACTGTTTTTTTCCAACTTATCCAAACAAACTCTTATGACTTTTAATTTTGGAATAATTACTTACATACAAAATCTATTTAATTATATTCTCTAAATTTTTTACTAGCTTTAAAAATTATAAAAATCTGTTCTCTCTCATATTTTTAGATATATCATTTTATGTGGTGTATCGAAATGTACATAGTATATATAAGGATAGTGAGTGATGCTTAGAATTCGAGACATAATATATCAAAGACTTTGAGGGTTGTATCATAATGTTTTGGGATATAACAGATTCCAACCAAATCTAAAGAGGCTTTTGTAAATTAAAATATAATTTGAATAAAATGTAATTAGTTCTTTAACACTATAAATCTTAAATGAAATTCATTTTAATTTTTAAATTATAAGTTACCACACATACGCATAGTCCAGAAACTGAAATCTACTCCACAACTTGAACATAAACAAGCCCAAAGATACTTTCACCAATGCTAAGAAAAGGAAAGTTGTATTGCATTAGAGTTCGTTTGGATTGACTTAAAAATTCATCAAATCTACTTTTAAATTAATTTTTATCTTTTCAAAGTGTTTGACAAGTATGAAATAATAACTTAAAATAAGTTAAAAATTGACTTAGAATAAATTACAAAATGTTTGATAAAATAAAAAAATTACTTCAAAATAAGTAAGAAACCAAAAGTAAGTCTCCCCCTACATTTTATTTTTTAATCTAAAAGCCATTTCAATTAGATTTTTTATTTTTAACTTAAAAATTATTTTTTAAGCTAATTTAAACAGGCTCTTAGTCCAAAAGAAGACTATTAAATAAAATAAAACTTTAGAAGATCTAAATAAAATATGTCATCAATCTATAACGTGGAACTTTAATATAAATACAAAACGTCAAATTAAAAAAAATAAAAAACCAATAGGAAGGGTGTCTGGTAGGTGTTCAATTTAGATTCAATTAGTTTGGGTTGTGGATGGATGAAATTGTCATCAGATTGGTGCCTTTTTGCCTTTTCACCCATTTTTTTCTTTTAATTATTTTGTCGTAATTTATGTGACACATAAAATTTGAAAAGTCATTCAAATTTTTAAAGATATTTTTAAAAATAATTAAATTTTAATTTATTATGAACTATTGAATTTACATAATTTTAGAATAACATTGAGCTAATAGCCCATTGTGAGAGTCTCTCACTGGGGGCACGCTATGATTATTCTGTTGGTTTCAGCTTATGTGGCACAAATGAAATTTAGAGAGTCAATCAATTCTTTTAGTTGATTTTGAAATATTTTAAATCGTGATTATTAGAATTTTACGTAAAAAATCATATATTTTTTTTATATTTATTACTGCATCAATTTAACTTTTTTTGAATAAAAGATTTATAGTAACATAAATATTTACGATTTATCACGAGAC